ATCCCAAGATGAGGGTCCTGACGATTGGCGTAACGACGCCAGAAAAGATACAATTTATGAAGCCGATGAGCCTAGGATGTAGCGTGGTGACTCCTACCTGGTATTTCATGAGTAGCTGAACCTACGGAAACCAAAAGTCTCGACTAATGAGTGACTATGTTCAACTCTCTAGTGACTCTTGTCGGAACGAGTGAGAGAGGCAGTCTCTCAAAAGTACCTGAACACACATGCACCTCTGCCCAGATTCAAATACACGTAACTTTTACATTATAAAGCTCCATCTGACTTTAAAATTTAAAAACTTTAACGTCTAAAAAAATCGACATGCACTTCCACTACGAATCGACCTAACGATATCGACTATAAATAAAAATCCCCATTTCACCCTTCGATTCGCAAGATTTATGCGTCCAGAATTCAACGCACAGTACAGTACACCCCATTTAAGAAGGAAACTCCTTGTACAGTCTGTGCCATAATGTATATACAACAACAAAAAATACCAACTAATAATAATATATTTTTAATTGAATAAAAATTTTCTTGGAAATTATCCATCGTCTAGTAAATATAAAACGTAAAAACGACGTTTCGGAGATGGGACTCTATCTCCGTCTTCAGGTTCCTACACAGTTGGGCCCACTAGATAGAGCTAATCCCATCCCATCCCATCTCCGAAACGTCGTTTTTACGTTTTATATTTACTAAACGATGGATAATTTCCAAGAAATTTTTTATTCAATTGACTCTTCACCATCGTCAAGAAGTTTTAGATTTGAAATATATTTTTACCTTATTCTTACTACACTTAATTTCAGTCATAATTTAATTTTAACTTTAATAACACGTTTCTAACCATTTTAACTACCGGTGATACACATTCAGTGATACGGTATCATCTTTTTCATGTCAATAAGATGGGCAGAGAAATCACCTCTCGACGAAAATTGATCGGGAACCGATAATGCGTGCTGGAAGATGTCATTCAACAATAATCTCTACTGTGGTGCGTCGTAAAAGCCAACGCCGATCTACAAACATTCTACACGCTAACATTGTTTGATTGCTCTGACAATTTGACCCTTCTAAATGAGACTATGAATGTACTGTTCTTTGCTTGCTATTGCGCGTAATTATGAGGCAAATACTCTCTTCAAGACAGTAACCACCACCCGCAGTTTTAAGGCGCTGTTTGCAATTTTAAGCATGGAGATGGCTCTCGAAACGTCCGTTTTTCTAAGGCCACCTCACACGGTTGATTGCCCGTGAATACTTCACTGAATGGATGTAGTATGTTTCGCTGATATGATGAATATACCTCTCAAAGACAACGAGAAGTCATCACTAATACCTTCAGGTTTATTTATCCAAAATAAAATGCCCGACCTACCAAATCGAGAAACCCTCTGGAATGTCAAAAACTTTGTGACATCAAACACGTTACACCGATCATGATCACCAAGATTTTTAGACTTTAGCGTGAGAGATAAACATTGAGTTTAAACGAAAATAGTATTCTAAAATACGAATAGAAGAGTAATTCTAATCTGACGTTGCGTGGACTTTCAGATACGTAATAGTGCTTCGGAGGAACGTTATATACCAGCAAGTGGGTATGACAAACTCGCAACAGAGCGATGCAAATATTTAGCTAAAAATAAATCTTAGGTTAAATATGATGTTCGAGTATGAAATTGATCGTATAGGGTCCAGTCTCAGTTTTAGGCCTCCGAGTCCCATAACAAATTCAGCAGACAGATGCAGTGTGAGTTAAAAGTGACGGTCCCCTTAAAATGTTTCTGCTTACATGCGATACAATGTAACATCAATGATTATGCCTCCCAAAATGTATAACACTTTTGGCGTCTGAAAATAAATACTTCCTGATTCCTTCCTCTCACGTCGTTTCAGACTCGTGTGTTTATCATAAGACGCCAGGTAACCTGTGCAACTGAAACAGTGTCATTAAATCAGCTGAGAAGGTGTTCATCACCTTTTATGATGTTTCAAATGTGAGGTTCCTGTAACAAACATGGCTGTTGAGCGCTGGAATAACTGATGACATGTGTTTTAGACAAGCTGAAGGCGGAGATAGCGATCAATGTCCATCTGGACACTTTGAAGAGGGTGGAAATCTTCCAGAACACAGAAGCGGGCTTCTTGTGCGAGCTGGTGCTGAGGTTACGTCCCGTCCTCTTCTCGCCTGGAGACTACATTTGTAGGAAAGGTATTCTCAACATTCGAATTCTTTCTGGTTTGGTTGGAACTTGGATTACGTCAAGCATCATTCGCCTAGAGTTGCTTTCCTTTCTGGTTCAGAGAGTGAGCGACCATTCTTTGCAAAGAACAAATAACCTCTCTGTAATGATTAGCATCGCTTGACGGAATTGAATGTTGTTTATAACCAATAAAGTATTTTATTCACTGTTGGAACTTCCTTATATTTAATCCTCCACTAGACTGTGAACAATTTCGTTCTTCATAGAATCATACATCACTTAGTTGATGGAGTTCTCTTCTCGCTCAAATTCACAATTTTAAGATTAAGAAACCATATCTCCCTGAATAATGCCATCTATCTCTGTACTTTCATTCTGAGTCAGTGTTGAGACAGTAAGCCAAGATCTCCTCGCATTCTGCAGACTTATATACCTGGGTACAACGAAGTCAATGCCTTGATATAAACAACAATTTGAAGATTTCTGTCTTCTGGGTTGTTGCGCTGTGTAGCCTGGTCGATGTTAACCAACGTTTCAGAGGTCATACTGCCTCCGTCATCAGAGTATGAAGATTTCTGTCTTCTGGGTTGTTGCGCTGTGTAGCCTGGTCGATGTTAACCAACGTTTCAGAGGTCATACTGCCTCCGTCATCAGAGTATGAAGATTTCTGTCTTCTGGGTTGTTGCGCTGTGTAGCCTGGTCGATGTTAACCAACGTTTCAGAGGTCATACTGCCTCCGTCATCAGAGTATGAAGATTTCTGTCTTCTGGGTTGTTGCGCTGTGTAGCCTGGTCGATGTTAACCAACGTTTCAGAGGTCATACTGCCTCCGTCATCAGGACGATGAAACGTTGGTTAACATCGACCAGGCTACACAGCGCAACAACCCAGAAGACAGAAATCTTCGTACTCACCGCTGTGAGAACCTCAAGTCTTACAAACAACAATTTATTGTTGAACAAAGTTAAAGATGCGTGGTTGTGTGTTTCTGTGCAGGCGAAGTGGGCAAGGAGATGTACATCGTCAACAGGGGGCGCCTGCAGGTAGTCGCCGATAACGGGCGAACGGTTCTGGCCACGCTGAAGGCAGGCTCCTACTTCGGCGAGATATCCATCCTGAACATGGGTACCGCAGGTAAAAACCTTGGTAAATATGGCTTCAGCTGCTAGCTGTACGCGGCTTGCATCAGTGTCTGCATGCGAAGTGAGTTGGCGTGAAGACGTCCCTCGGGTCGGGGAGTGCGATAATACGACACACGAAAAAGTTCGTCCTCAGCGACGACTTAAGCGTCCAAGAAGCTGTCCCGCTACACGCCATATAGGCGCTTGGGGGAGCACTAGATGGAGGTCGGCGTCAAATGTAGATTGTACTCTAGTCCCTTATTCTTCAAGTCTTCTTCGTCGGAGGAAACTTGAATGTTGCTAAGATTCTCGACACGTTTGAAGAATATTGAGTGCTCATAAATACCATTTCTGTTACGTTACCTTCGTTGGTATTGAATATTCTTATGAAGTGTTGTATTTTATTTGTCTCGTATTCCAGTTTTTTTGTATTTTGTTTATTTAAATCCACAAATCTTTCCAAATTAGTGCATTTTTGTATGTGTAACTTGTATGTTCGATTTAGATGTTTCTTTTTCTTGTGTAAATCTTGGATTCTTGAGTGGGTTTTTTTATTTTTTATTTGAACATATATGAGTATTAGAATTTGTCTTAAACAGATTTTATTAAAGTATATAAAGGCATTAAATATTAATACTGCATTCAGATATTCATATATGTTTCAACCAACCCCTTCAGTTCAACTACGGCTCTCCACGGGTAAGTACTTCCACACAGTCCACGCTTCTAAAATACGTAAGCTGCTTAAGAGCTTGCCATTCATTTTATTCCGAATAATATCAGGTAATGAGAATTTGTGAACATTGTAAAGAGCAATGGTTTTTCAAAGAGTGTAAGAAATTTCTTTACCAGATGAGTGACTATCAGCTTCTGATGAAGGCGTCTGCTCCATCGAGTTGATTGGTTAGTTAATTATAACCAAACAATTGAAGACAGGAGTAGAGCCCGAATCAGTGTACATAGCAAATGTTTCAGGCAATGAACTATTCAAAACTAGCATTTTTCTGTAGGGACTGAAGAAAACCCTGTCTCTGGGCGGATATCTAAACCCAGGTCCTCCCTAATATAAAGCAAAATTTCTAATTACTCAGTGTCTGACATCAGTTATCGTTGGCCATGCGTCACTGTTTGTGTCGTATTCGCAATCTTTAATGTAAGCAACATCATCAGAAGAGTGAGTTCTGTGCAGGAAACCGTCGAACGGCCTCAGTCCGGTCGGTGGGCTACAGCGATCTGTTCGTCCTGTCGAAGAAAGACATGTGGGACGTGCTCAAGGAGTACCCAGCTGCCAGGGTGAGGCTCGAGGCCATCGCCGTCAAGCGCCTCGAGAAGTACAAGAGGGCGCCGCTAGAGAGAGGTGAGTGTCTCTGTTGATCACACAATTAACCCTTCGAAGCCGAAGATCGTCTGAATATTATTTATGAATTCAGTCCGTACCGCGAAGAAAACACTACACCTCACCATTACGAAAATCAACTGGTTAACCCTTTGAAGCCGAAGCTCGTCTGAATATTATTTATGAATCCAGACCGTACCGCGAAGAAAACACTTCACTTAACCATTAGAAGTCGAATCAGGCGGTACCACATAAGATTTAACAAAAGAACATCCCGGTCAAAGCCTTAAGAGTCATCATGAGTCCGCGAGTGAGACTCTGTATTACATGAACTGATGGAGAACTTTCTAAAAATAAACTAACATAGCCATAAATTAAATTAAGCCACTGCTCTGAAGCCTTGACCTAAATATAATACTGCAGTTCCTTTACTGCAAGCGAGAGAGAATAGAAAATTAAACAAGCTTTTCTTATTGAATATTATGCGAATATTGAAAATAATACGAGCGAGCTTGCTGGATTTTTACACGGTCGAGCCAAATTTAAGATTATTTCTCAAGCTCACGCTTTGTATAATGATATTCCGCATTTTGAAGCATTCATAATTTACGCTTTACCAGAACCCAACTTCAGATTACCTGTGAACAGAATCAGATTTCTGATATTTAATTATAATAAAAAATTAAATTTATCCATCTTTTTTTTTGTTATATAAATATATTTTATTTAAATTATTGTGACTTTTCAAATGTCAGTTAACCACTGTTACAGAATTACTAAGATGAATGCAAGGGCCAATGAATAGATCACTAATTTATATATTATTGTTACGAAAATAATATTACTTAATTGGTTACTAATAATTTTGGCTACATACATCCGACTAACAAAGTAATCAACTCCATGGAGAACCACTCAGCTAGATTAAATATTTCCAAAAATCATTACCATCTTAACTCGAGCAGATGCCTGGTCCCTGTCGTGAAATGAAAGCGTCAAATCCACATCGACAATTAAACTTCCTGATTAAACTCATCAGTTTAATTAAGGCTTAATTCCTGTTTCTCGTGTGCTGCTTCATGTGAGCATCTGTCCGTCTTATCCCAGCTTGGACGCGACAGTCCTCCATGTTCCGGGTCCATCTACGCCTAGGCGATCTCCATGGTTTTGTCTCTTTTCTGACTAACATTCACTATTCATTTCTCATCTCTTCCCATATTTTACACGTTCTCCCATCATCTCGTCTGTCCATCTGCCACATTTTTTCCAGGAACTAGAAATTCCCATGACCTGAGGTCGCTGTCCGAACAATGTGAGTTAACAAACTAAAACAGTGGGACATTTCTCTGAAATGTGCTTCATAAGAAAAATGATAAATGAAAAGAAAAAGTTCGACTTGGATAGAAAACCTTAGGAAAATTATCCACTTCTTCGTGTCCTCAGAATAAGCTTGAGGGTGGTCCGCTAAACAAAAAACAGCGTTATTCTCCCAAACAGCATGTCATGAGAATAGTAGGTACAGAAGATTTTTTCTTTTGAAGAGGCAACCATAGAAAGTGACTGAATTCATCAATTTCAAAAATTGGGATCAGGGGTGTCCTGAAACATGTACAGTGGCACTTTGTAGAAAATAAATTGGTAAATACAGAGAATGTTTGCCCTTTGGACATACAATTATGGGAAAAGTATAAATATATGTTTCCATTTTGGACATTAGTTACAGGGTTTTATAATTTAGCAAATCACAAAAATAATACAAAACATTTAATTTTGAAAAGACAACTATTTTCAAAATTAGGCACAGGAATGTCCGAAGCTTATATAATGGCACATTTCTTCCAGAAAGTAATGACCCACCTCAAAACAGAATCAATAAATTTTTAATTACTGATTCTGTTTCGAGAATAAAACACAGGTTTGCCACAAATCTCGACACATCATAGAAAAATGTTAAATACACTTTCACAAGATCTTCACGACTATTAGCTGCAGATTTCTCAGTGATGCATCTCTGAAAAACAAGATAGGCCTATATTCTTTTTACTCGTTGAATATCGATGCGTATGACCAGTGCCGATATAACTAACTACTTCCTCCGATGGATTTCTATGTTCACAAGTGATTTTGAACAGACCTGTCGTCATATTCTTATTGGTGAGTCAGACAGAAGGTTCGGTTGCGTTCCATTCTCCAGAGGAAGTTTGGCTGCATTTTCAAAAGCCTGTTGTGTCAGTAACCTGAATACGCTGCATATTTCTGAAAATACTTTGTTTGTGATATTCTCGAGTAAACTTCCTTCTCGTTATCTTTGCAGCATTCATCTGCCGTCCATTTTCTTATTTAGCGCAAAATGATTTGTCTCCTATTCGCTCATAACCCATTCTGTGTTTTCTTGTCATTTTACATCAACCAACTGAAAGCAGAATGTCTTTGTAGATGCAAAGCTGTACGTAAATATGGACCGGGGTGGTAACAGTAACTGTGAACAATTCCAACATGGAGTCACTAATAATGGCTGCTGGTGTTTGTAGATACTTGGGGTGGTGAGATGGAGGAGATGTCATCATTGTGGCGCGGAGGTGGCGCTCTGCGGCGGCAGTCAGGCAGACAAGTGCTGCCACCGGGCGGTGAGTGCCATGTTGAGGAGTTAAGTCAATATGCATGCTCCTCCCTCACCACCCCAACTACTGGGATGATATTGAAGCTAGACAAAGAGTTCTAGACTGTACAGTATATTAATTAGGTGGCAGAACTTCCATGACAACTGTTTATCATTTTCACAGATAATAATATTTAATGAATCCCACTTAACGCTTTTCGTATGTGTGCTAAAATATTGTCCCTACGCATGCTAGAATTTATATGAAGCTATTGAAATGCAATAGAGCCAAAGAATACAACCACTCTTGTTTGATGTATGCTCATAAAATACACGTAGTTTCTTGTAGTGGTAATAACTTTGTTGCACTGCCATTTAGCACAGTTTCAAAGAGTTTCACGTGGATGGTACAGCATATAACATGAAAAACACAGCACAAATTGGAATGGTGAGTGATTGCAGCACTACCGTGTACTGTAACTGCACTTGATGTCTTTTAATGGCCTGTGGTAATGTAGCGCTGTAATCTAATACAATGTCAGCGAGTTTGACACTGATGTGTCGTTCAACATTTTTATATAAGCTCATGAGAGTAAACGTGTCTTGGGATGCCACAAGATCAGTAAGGTTGTCTTCGAAGCAACTTTACTCTAACAGGGTTATTATTAAAAGCTTTCAAAGTCTATCACACAAGAGAAGGAATTTAAATTTAACATTTTCTTATAAAATTTATAGTGAATTTATTATGTGTCCCATATAACAAAACTGCAAGCTTTCCAGAGTTATTCTAGCCAATTAAAATCAAACATAACAGAATATATGACAGTATTAAGAGTAGTATGGGTCAAAAATTCTTAGAAAATGTTGTGGATCTAATGGTAAATTAAGGTATGACATTTGTATCTGTTCGCATCCATAAAATTCATTTAATTTATTGTAATCCAATGAGATGGTGTTATATGATGAAAATTTGTTTGAATAAATGACACATGTTACAAGAATTAAATAACAAATTGGATGCAAGATTTTTGGATCTATGGGGGATAAAATTTGTGAAGAATGGAGGATATTAGATTGTAAATAATTTTTTTTGACTTTTTCCTCTCCGTTATTATTATAGTGGGGCCAATTTTCTGGACCTGTAGCTCAGATGGAATGAACAAGGAATTGTTACAGAGTTTTGTAGCAAAACATCTTGGAATGTTCACTTGGAAAACTGAGAAGGAGATAACAGTGTGACATTAAACTGGATTTAGATTAATGCATCAGGAGGATGTTTCTTGGATTGGACTAGTTTGGAATTGAGTGCACTGAAGATACAGTGTTAATGGTGTAGAATCTTCAGGTCTCGTTAACAGTAATTTAGTTGGGGTAGGGTCTTCTCTCATTAGAGTGATTTTCCCTGGCCAGTCACGTTTTTTCCAGTGTTTTATATTTATCTCTCAATTCATACAACACGTCAGAAAAACCCAAATATCACAGCATTTGTCTTTAATAGGTGTCATGCTCATAACTCAGCATATGGCTGTATTTGAAGTAACTGTGTTACATTAGTGGTTTTTGACGTTTCCAAGTTTGCGGTCCAGCATGTCAAAAAAAGATGAACCGTTAAATTATGGTATTCTTCATGTCTGTGTGGATTAGGGAACTTGCACTTTAACAAGCCTCAGAATTCTCTTTAAAGAATCTTATTGTCTTTCCTGTTGCTTCATGGGAAATTCCAGCCAATGAGGCCTGAGACTAAAACCATGTTATTTGTACATTTAGTGACGGAGGATTAATCATTAGAGTATTAGGCTTTTAAATCCCTGTATCCTCTGCTGGACCAATTTAAATCTCACGATCACACTATGTTGTGCATGGTTTTGATTAAACCATGTATTTTTTTCTTAAAAACCCACATAAAACAATTAAATACATTTCACATCATTCAGAAGAGTTTACTTTACCACTTGGAACCACTCCTTAAGCTATTGCTTTGCAAGATTACTTCTAATTGGAAGGAATATCACACCTATTCACATTTTCTGCTATCATAAGACCCACATCTTGAAAAGTATAGTGATATTAATGCAGTCACCTTAAAATATGCAGATGTTTCTTTTCTCTCAGACCAACAAATCAACTAAACATGGAGAATGATCAAGCGATGTTTTTTTCCATAAATTGATGCTCACTTGGCATAAATGGACTTCAACTGAACCACAATCACACTATGTCACTGTTTGACCTTGAGCTTCAGCATGAATAGCCCTCAGGAGTGTTCCCATTTATACCATAAATTTTTCCAGCAGTGCCCCCATTTCTTTAATTTTCCTCGTACATGGTTAAAAGTTTGCATTGTTTTTTTATAAATTTCCTCTGCATAATTTTGTATCTTTCAAATCACATAATATTCATCTTGTTCTATGAAATATATATACACTGTAGGAATCTAACTTTACTATGATGTGTTGACCTAGACCCACACATATGTATAATGCTCCAAAAATGTGATTCCTTAGACAAAGAAACAAACCTTAATAGGAATATGAAATTTTAAGAAAAATATATCTTTTCAGTTACTGTCTCAAAACCAAAGTCCTACACGAGCAGTTTCTACTGTTCTCACAAAATTCATTGTGCTGTTTTCATTTTATGTGGATACTTCATGTGTGACGTCAACATAGGCATGTAGGCTCATAATATCATCACTTAACATGTTCCTCCCACCTCATAATTTTGGTCATCCATCATATTGGTATTAATGGTAGCAGCAAATTAGAAAAGTATGGGTTTTGAGTAGCTTACAGGGGCATAAAATTCATACCAAATTTCATGAAAATCCATTCAGCCATTCTCAACATGTTTTATGCGTACAGACAATGGAAATGACAAGCATTACAGACAGATTCTGCAGGCTACAAACTTTATTATCCATTTTGCACTGAAGTTCAATTCAACAGTCGACTGTAATACATGTGTGTGTGTCCACATCTGAAATGTCAACATGTGAGGACACTTCAGTGCGGTATGAACCAACACCAGTAGTTGAAAATCACATTATTTGAGTGCTTACGTGTAAGAAATCGGAGATGGCATATGAGAACTTCCTTGAGGATCTGCCTGAATTTGTGAAGAACAGGATGATACATGGCATTGATGGTTGGCATTAGTTCCTCTTCTGATAGTAAGATATCTTATCTTCCTTCGGAAGGGAAGTAAAGCTGGCAGTCTCACGTCGTAGATTTACGGCATGTAAAAGAACCTTGCGAGCATGAACGAGATGTTTCATAAGCAAAATTCAGTGGCCATTTCTCACCCAAGTCTCTCCTGAGTCTCTACTAGATGGCTCTAGGAGTCAAATCAGGATTGAGTAGAAATTGTGCAGAGGCAGTGGGCTGGTCACTCACTACTCACAAATGCACACTTCAAAGACAAGGAATCCTCCCACATGGGAGGAGGCCAAGGCCCGATATGGACTGCAGAGCCATTGGATGGATGGATGGATGGATGTTGAGCATGATCTTCTAGTTTGTGACACTGCGTTGTCTTGTTTGTAGTAGGCTGATACTCAGGTAACATAAAATAACATAGAAGACCACGACTGACATCTTCACCGCTGTGAGAACCTCAAATCTCAAGATATCACATGTTCATTTCCACCACTAATTTATTACTTTGTCGAAAGATGTTGGAGTTAAATCCAATGATTTCTTCATACTTTGCCGGTGCTGCACTCCTGAAGCACTCGTTGATTTATAAATTCAATTTATTTTATTTTATTTGTGCTATAATCCTGCTGATATTGCTTATTGAGTGTGTAATATTTATAACATTACATTACAGCTGCAATGTGTCGCAGTCAATCTACACCAGGTCTGGTGGAATCTCGAGGACGAATACCATTGGAAGATATGTGGGTGTCTCCCCTGGAGCCACTCATCACTGGGGGGTCATCATTGGGACCACCACCTTACTCTGTTAACTCGCTCTTCAGCCCCACGCTCAGTCCTACTTCCAGGTAACTTAATATGATATCAGTTTGAGAATACATAATGGTTCCAGTATGATGCTGTTCTTTAGTGACAGCTCTTCACAAGAGGCAATAAGAGCCAGCCTCACCAAAGTATTAGACGGTAAAATTACAATGTCCTGTATTATCAGCACTCTGAAAGCTACGTGGAGATCTGTGTATATCATCTAGGGATCCTTTTATAAACTGAATCATCACTTGTAATGAAACAAGGATGTGTCTTTATTAACATGTAAGCACATTCGATAGCCTTCAGTGCACTTCAGCTTCCAAGGAATTAAAAACACAAGCTTCAACTGATGAACTGTTTTCTAGGACAGTGAAGGATGAGTCACAGTTAACTTTCATGCAGAAACTCATAAGAAATAGATTTAATTAGAAATTAGATTAAAACACTGCACTTTCCATATAATTTGAGGTGCTGATTAATTTACTATTCACTTCATATCTTGCATTATCTGAAGGAGGACTCACAAGGATAAAGATCCCCATGTAATGAAGTAAAAGTGAGGTTAAGGCTACAGGAGCATTGAAAAAATTATTTTGCTGCTGGCATCAAGTTTCTTGTGATGTGTTGAACTAGGTGCCTCAAGAGACAGGGAAAATATGTCGAAAAATAAGAAGATTGTAACATTGCTTCTATTCTGCTTACATTTCTAAGAATAAAATGTTATTTTGATTTACCATAATTTTATATAATATGATGGAATGTTTATAATCGGAATTTGTATCAGTAATGGGTTTTAGTATTAATTTTTCCATTGGAAGCATTTACCTACAAAGTTGATGGTAGTACGTATAAGGCAATTCAAGTAATGTTGCCTTAAAATTTTCTTATACTGGCTTCAGAAGCTTTCCAAAATCTCCATATATTATTCTTCATAAGTGTTAAAATAAATCAAGATCTTGTTGGATTACTTTGTAATAGTAAACATAAAATAATGTATAATTTTTAAGCTTCAAGTTTCATCTAATAAGATTAAACATTCAAAGGTATGACTGACAGAATTATCTAAACAGAATTAAGACACACAATGTTGGAAAGGTATTGATGATAGTTGTAATGAGTGGTGATGATAGCAATGTGATGACAACAATTACAGTGAACATTCATTATAAAAGCAATGTGTTGTTGCAGATGAGGGTAATATGTTTCTAATATTTTGGATTGTTAGAATCTAAAGAGTTAAAAGTTAATACTTTGGGGCCACTTGAATCATGAAATAACTCTCTGTTATACATATCTCACAGGTCTTTACAAGGGCGTGTGCGCACCATGGAGTCGCCCCTATCAGCCACATCAAGCGGACTGTCTTCAGATGATGAGCGAAGAGGCAGTGGGATCCAAGCCCCAAGCCATCATGTGCCTCAGGCAGCTGTTCATGCAGGTAACTGCAACGCTGGAATAATCATTAAGTTCTTCTTGGCTTTTGTCCTCGTAAATTGTCTGTTTGTAGTAAAAGGATTTATCCTTGATCCTTTCGCAGCTTCATTTCCATTACTTCCTACTGCATCATATCTATTTTCATGTTAAACTTCATTTGGTCCAGCATGTTTGTTTTCAAATCATTTA